ATGTTTATATAAAATTTTGATTATTTATTTTCTTATTTTTAATTATTAAGATTTATTTATTTTTTATTATTGTTAATAAATTAAAAAATTATAATAAATTCAACTATTAAAAATAAAGAGATAAATAGTCAATTTTTTTGTAAATAAAATATATAAAATTTATATATAAGTAAACTTTTATTCTAAAATTAATATTTTTAAAGATGATATTTTATAATTTTTAATCACCTCAACATTTTAATTAATGACCGTAACTGTGCTCTAAATGTTTTATAATAACTTTAAAATAAAATGATATTACTTTTATAAATATTTTTTTTTTTACATCTGATTATAGGTTATATAATAGGAGATAACTCTCGTCTATTATCAAATTCTTCTCTACTCAGTTCAAAACTCAAACTTAAGATATTCAACTTTTAACCATTAAGTTACATCATTGGGGTTAATAATATATATATATATATTTTTTTGTACATAAGATACTAATTTAAAGTCTAAGATCTAAGGAACATAGTCCCCGCAGCATCTCCATGCAAGAACATACTGATCCCAGCAGTTGGAGTTGGGTAAATGGTAGCACCCAAGGATGATTTGTGGCCCGAGGACGCCATAAAATCTACATCCGAATTCCCTTCGCGAAGTGTATGGCGAACGATACAAGTACTAAAACTATCAGGTAAGACTAAAATATCAGAAAGCAAGGCAGAATAAGGTCCCCTCTGTACTTGATGAGTTTGAATTAAATGAATGGCCATTAGTGAGTCCATCTCCAAGATAAGATATTGCAGGTGTAGGGAGTGAGCGAGTTTTAATCCCTCACGACAGCCCCAAAGCTCAGCAATAAAACTGGAGCTGACACCAATATTGACCGTGAAACCATGAACCCAACGACCCAAGTGATCTCGAATTAGTCCCCCCAAAAGGATACCTAAAAGGATACTAGACCCATTGCCTATTTCAAAAAGAAAGGATACTACACCATTTTGTTTCCCTTTTTTCCTCTTTATTTTTCTTAAATTAAACATATCATTAGAAATATTTTTTAATATACACAAAAATATAGTATAGAACTCTAGGTGTATACGGTACAACAAATTCTACTGTTTAAATTCAACACATTACACATACAAATCAAGAAAAACTTGAAGAACTTCACATGTATGCAGGGTGGTAATTTGGTTGATCCTTGCAAACCGCATAAGGATCCCTGTTACGTAGACAGGATAAGGAAGAATATTTTTTTTTATAGTACTAGAAGAATATTCTTTCTTACAAGATTAGGATGAGGGGTGTTTTTCTTTCATAAAATTTTACAGGGAATTTTCGTTGCCTCATGAGACCCTGTGGGGATCTCTATCCCCACAAAATTAAAAAAAAAAAAAATTAATTAATTTTATTTTAAATTTAATTCAATCTTCAAACCCAAACCTAAACTCAATCTAATAAAAATTAAACTTAACCCAATTTTACGCAATCCAACCCAACCCATAAAAATTAACCTAACCCATCATTAACCATTTAACCCTAACCTTACTCATTTTTCATCACTTTCACCTTCAACCTTCCCATCCCCTTCTACGTTGGCACACTGCTATCCTCACCTGCCGCCCTTCTACTCTTCTCAGTTCTCACCCTTTTGCCCTCACTTTCACCTTAAATCTCAAAGTTCAAACCCTCACTTTCACTCTTCAAGAATCTCAAACCCTCCATTGTCGCCTACTTATTTGTTGCTGGAGCCACACTACTACTGAAGTGGACTACTACACATTGCTATTGGCTACTGTCGAATCCATCTAGATAGCTAAGGTGTTGAGTTGGCTGCCTCCCTTCCATGTTGGAATTTGAATGTCCGTTTAGTTATTTTAGTGATGTTGAATTGATTTTTACTTATATTTAGAAAAAATGTGTTGATTTAGTTATTTACGTTGGATTAATCTTTATTTATGTTTGGAATAAGTTTGTTGATTTAACTATTTATGTTTGGACAATTTATATTTGATTTTTTATTTAAAAAATTATAATTAATTGTAATTAAATTTTTAAAATTTTGTTCATTGTAATTGAATATTAATTAATTATATATATAATTTATATTTAAAGAGAGAGAGGAAGGAACCCCAAGA